GGATTAAAAAATCTAAAAAAAAAAAAAAAGCTTCAGGCTTAATTGCAAAAGCATTGTAGTTCCCACAATACAATAGACTAGCATTGTAATTTAACAGCTTATAGGTAGTATTGTTATTTGTAAGAATATTAGTATATATTCTTTGTCTTAGAATACTTTTGCTTAATTATATAAAACAAAGCAAGCAAGGAAGAGTAGATAAACATAGTCCATGACCTGTTTATCTGAGGATGAAAATGCCCCTTTCTTTCACATAGAATCCTTTCCTAACATCCAGACTGATACTCTCAGTATGAAGCTGTTGAATTGGACAATGTCCTACTGCAAAGGATGCTGAAACTGCAAAATAAATCAAATTGGTGGAACACTTCTGACAATAAAGTTAATTCTCACCATACTTCTGAAGTTCAGGGTATCTTTCCAATAGTATAACTAGCTACATGTTTCCAGGGCGTATGACACGGTCTTCCAATATGAGGTTTTTCACACTAGGTTCCATTAATCCTAGGGTTCCACAAGGTGTTGAATGAGTTCCATGGGACTGGGGGGGGGGGGCGTGAGACACTACTCAAGGAACTAAGAGAAAAAATAATCTCTCCACAAGGGACAAAGGCTTAGTCCCTTGCAGAGACTTTTTTCCCCCTTTTAGTCACTAAGGTACGTATAGTGGAAAGGGCAGGGCTTTTTAGCTGACTTTCAGAAGCCCACCTTTCTTGATCAGGGATTCTGAGAATTTTTGTTTTAATAAACAGCTTCTGCAGCCTGAAAATGTTTGAAAACCCTTGCTCTAATAACCTGATACAGTCAACTTTGATCAAACTCTGAATTACTGGCAACCATTTTAGAACACATTTACACAATGAAATTGTACATGCTAATCCTGTCACATGAACAACAGTGATTTTGCTCTCATCCTTTTTTTCTGCCTAGTTAATCCTTGCCCATTCATTCTGCACCCTAGATATTTCACAATTTAAGACAAATTATTCCATGAGGAGACATCTGTTTAAAAGGAATGCTGTTAGTGTTGCATCATTAGAAATTCTGAAAACATAAATGATATTTGAGTTTGTTAGGCAGAGGATATGATTTGGTTGAACACAGATACTTCCTTGTTTTAGAGATAAACCAGAAAATTCCAGCCTCATCTATTTCATTAGACAAGTGATATCTTTTTCTTTTTTTGATAAATGGAAGTAAATCAGAGTTAATGCCAATGATCTCAATAATAATTTGACATATTTAGAAGTTTTAGGTTGAATTCTGATTCCCTATCTTAGCATGAAAATTCCTCGGAAATGTTCTCCACTGAGAAAAATTGAACTTAACTCCATTTTTTTGGCACAAATTAAACAGCCTAGAATTCCATTCAGTAATTGGGTTAAATTTTTTTACTTGTAAGCTGCCTAGAGTCACTTATACAGTGAGATGGGCAGCGTATAAATTTGATTAATAAAATAAAATAAAAGTGCTGGGATTCACCTCAAAGTTGGTGTGTATTTTAAGAGGTCTTCAATTTTTATTCCTTCACAGTATTTTAAATACATTGCCTATTACATAACTTTATTCGGCAGAAGTAGCCTTTGATATTTCACTGTGTAAACTAAAACTGCCAATTGGGAAAAGCAGATTTTCCACGTGTTCAGCCTATTTCTTTATTTACACACACACACACTGCTCATTTATTTGAAAATATGGGACTACAGAATCATTTTTCTTTCTGCTGAAAACACCACATGTGGTAACTCAAGAAACCATGTGGTGTAGCCATACTGAACATTTTGAAATGACTTGAGCTGAATGGGACTTCTAGAAATAGGGTACACCCTATAGTTTGACCTTTATTCCAGCCACATGACATTGAAAGTTTTTTTATTAAGTTTAGAGCTGCATTTTTTATGTTAAGAATTCTGATTTTGCTAGTAACTTCCTAGCTAGGAACCATTTTTTAAAAAATGTACTTCATTAAATTTACATGTTTTCCACCTATCAATGCTTTATTGTTCTATGTACCATACTGTATTTAATCAGAGATATTTCATGAGAAATTGAATGATTCCTGAAATGCCTATAGATCCATTAGAAGAAATTTGTTAGTAATGAGGGCAAGAGATCATAATGCTACTGGAATCTGTTACAAAAAGGGAATTCTCTAATGATGGAAGATCAAGAGATTAAAAATCTTGCTCAAATCCAAATTTCCTTTAGTCCTAAACAATATTCAATAAACCGATACAAACTGGGCAATTATTATTGATTTGTCTCAACCCATTAAAATGGCTGAGAGACTCTAATATGCAACTTTAGACTAATTTTAATTTCCTAGCTGTGCCCCTTTGCATCTAGTATTTCTGTCACCTTCCTCCCTACACAAGACCACTGCATGTTTTATTTCCTCCTTTCCCATACGACTGTAAGTTATTTTTGTGTTTTGATTCTTTCAAGTGGTACAAATGGAACTGTCCCCACCTAATGATGTTTTAGAAGGGTATGGGGGTGGAGAATGACCCCCATTTTATTCCATGGGTTAAAGAATAAAAATGAACTGTCCATGCCCCTTAAAACCACTGTTAAAAGCTCTGAAAAGAAAGAGATCAAATAGACCTGCAGTATCCTTTCTGTGACTTGGAAACACTCCATGAAACAGTGGCTAGGTTCCCATATTACTCTAAACCACAAAGTATGGTTTATAAACCAGAATTGCTGGACTTGCAGAACATGGTGTGCCAAAACCATACAAATCATATTATGGTTTAGCACAAGACATGAACAGCTATTGATTCCCTTGCTCTTAAGAGCTAAGATTCATAGCTGTGCAGGTCTTGCAACATGCTTCTGGCATCTTAAGAAAGTATTGCACTTCGGACACTAGTGTCTGCCAGAGTTGACTGCTTTTGCTCAGAAGAATGACAAATGGAAACTTTTTTTTAAACATCAGATGTTCACACTTGTTATCTGCAAACAGCAGATTCAAATTATAATTCAGACATTTTATAAAGAATTGTGTCTCAAGTTCCAGTATAGAGCCAGTCACTTAGGATTTGTTTCAGCTTCAGCCAAGTGAATGTAATAGTTTAAATGTAGCTTCAGAGGAACTAAAATATTGGAAAGAGATTTGGAACATAATTGTCTTTCAAAATAAATTTATATACTTTCTTCTCAAATAGAAATAATAGTACTTAAACAGCATATTACAAGAAAAAAGTTACTATTTACAGTTTTGTTGTCAGCTTGACAGAATAAAAAAATGAACTGAAATACAAATTACTGCTATTATCAATATGGAGTTATTATTTATCCATGTGTGCAATGGAATATGCTCTTGAGTTAATACAAAGTTTAGGAAAGCATTCATCACTTTAAATCACGAAGCCATATCTAGAACAGTTAGTTCTTAGATGATATTAATCCAGCAATGTTAAGTGCACTTCCTAACACTTAAGATTTTTTCGCAAACATTATCAGCTATGGAACAATTGTAATTTTGAAAATGTACATACATAACCCAATTTTATGAAGTAAAACTAATTTAAGCCACTATTCAAGAAGTGAAATTACCACTTAATGGGATATTGGCAGCCAGATCTCTTCACATTTTATGCCACTCACTTCAGTGAGGAAAGTGTTTGGTATTTTAGCTTACCATATTAAACTGAACAGAAATTCAAATGGCTTAATTTCATCTGGACTGATCAATCCTTAATTTGTCTTCAAAACAACAACCAGCCTAAATTTTTCTCCAGCAACCATTATGACTATCTTTCAAACTGCATCTTCTTCAAAGAGCACAAATGGTTTCATCCAGAGAATGTTAAAAATATAACGGATATTAATTCTAAGCTAACAATACTTAGCTTAATTTCAAGGGAGTTTCATGTAGCTGAATGACGTTTCATAAACTATATCAAAATATTTGGAAACAGTTACTTCTTAGTTTTAACAAAATTCTGTGCTTCTTTGAGAAGCATGTCCATATCTTCATTGTCACTGTCTTGAAAATCTGGTTCCCAGTCAGAATCTTCATCAGTAGGATCACATTCTTCCTCCTCTTCATCATCTATAAAACTGTCACTCAAGTTGTATTCATTTGGTTCACCATCATCATCACTCTCCTCCGCAAGAACACTTCTTACTATATAATTTTCAACAATAAAAAATTAAAATCTTGGGCTTCAATGCAAAATGATAGTGATATACCCCACCTTATGTACTGAATTATATCATTTCATATTTGATCTCCAAATAAATGTGGTTTTGCTAACAATACAGAAACACAGCTTGAAAAAGTAAGACAAAATACTAGTTATTATTAGAAATTGTATGAAAACGTATAAACTGATGGAGCCTTGCCTCTTCAGTCTAATTAGTGAAACAAGAAAACAATTCCACTGGTATCTCATCTTATTTGATAATGGGTTCACTCCAGCCTCAGTGCTCTTCAATGCAAATCACCCAAATTCTTATTTGGAAAAGGTTTATTTGATTTTATCCAGATTTCCAAATAAATTTGAAAATCCATTTTGTATGCACAAAAGGCAGTTGAATTGATTGTCATTATTCCAAACTGATGGCAACCAATTTGCTCTCTGATTTCTTGTGGTCTAGTATTATAAAATGTAATAAATAAATATTTAACTGATTTCATTAGATCAACTAAAACCCCTCTGAACTTTTTTTTTCTGAATCAAATAGTCACATAGTGTCAGGCCTAGCCCAAGGAACTCCAAGAGACCATGTAAATTCAGTCCAGCAAGGTTAATTAGCTACAACCTCTAGCAAGAATCTTCCCAGACTGAAACCCCAGTTCCCAAGTAATGCCAGCCACAACATTGTGAATTCCTCAGGGGGGGCCAAGCCTACTCCTCTTTTCTCTCCCTCTCGCCTCAGGAGATGAAAGAAAATGTTTTTCTAGGAACTCCAAGAGACCATGTAAATTCAGTCCAGCAAGGTTAATTAGCTACAACCTCTAGCAAGAATCTTCCCAGACTGAAACCCCAGTTCCCAAGTAATGCCAGCCACAACATTGTGAATTCCTCAGGGGGGGCCAAGCCTACTCCTCTTTTCTCTCCCTCTCGCCTCAGGAGATGAAAGAAAATGTTTTTCTCCCCGAGTCTGGCCTTCATAATTCCATTCCATCACACATAGTCCTACCAGCCAGTATTTCTTACTAGCATATCCAGTAGCATATAGACAAATTTTACTCTTCCGGAGAACTAGTGATCTGGTAGTAGGGAGGGCTTGTAGTACTGTCTTAAAGACTTAGCTTGCATGGTAAAGATATTAATGCTGGAAAATCTGGAGATTGATATCTTTAGTATCTATTCAGTTAAAGATTCTGAAATCACTAGCCACTGGGAAACCCTATGTCTTGACTCTTGAATACAGGTAGTCCCTGGGTTAAGAATGCCTGGTTTAAAGATGACACATAGTTAAGAACAGCACCTATTGTAGCAAAATTCAAGTTAGATACATAATGATTTGAGTTAAATACACAATGGTTTGAGTTCATTACACAATACTACTTATACAGTATTATACAAAAATATGGTTCCAGCTTACATACAAATTTGACTTAAGGACAGACCTTGGGAACGGAATTCGTTCTTAAACTGGGGACTACCTATAATAGCATATGGTCCTGGACATCCAATGTGTCTAAACTGGAACATTCATTTTTAAAGAAGAAACTTGTACACTATCTTACTAGCATATATATTTTTTTTTAGAAGAAAGAAGTCAACATTCAGCAAATGCTCAAAAGACAATTTTTCCACATAATTTTTCAAGGAAGTCTGGGAAAAAGGAAGTTAAAAAGTAAAGTCACTACAGCCAGATTGGTGTAGTGGTTAAGGTATCAGGCTAGAAACTGGGAGACTGTGAGTTCTAGTCCTGCCTTAAGTACAAAGCCAGCTGGGTGACTTTGAGCCAATCATTCTCTCTTAGCCCTAAGAAACAAGCAGTGGCAAACCACTTCTGAAATCTTGCCAAGAAAACTGCAGGGATTTGTGCAGGCAGTCGCTAGGAGTCAACACTGATTTGAAGGCACACACACACACACAAAACTATAGGATAAGCCAAAAGGGAATTTGCCTTTCACTGCTGAGTATCCAAAACTCCTGCTTGCCTCTTTATATAAGAGTAACTTTTCTCAGTGATAAGCTGACAGACAGCACTGAGATCAGTTATTGGTATGCAAATTTCATAGTGTACCTTTGCATGAGTATCAGTATCCAACATTATCTGGTGTTAATTATTAAAGAAATTGATGCTCGGAACACTTGAGTTTAGCAAATAAGGCAAAATCTATGCCACTATGTCTTCCTTCTCAACTATTATTGATTTTCAGTAACAAAAAATGCAGCAAAGAGATTTAAAATTGTAAGAAAATTTTTTTGCTAGAATTTGGGAGGAACCTTCCTTATGAAGAATTATGACAGTTAAATGGTATAAAACCTACCTAGGTTCAAAGTGTAGTTTTAATATACTCCATCATTTTATTTGGTATTTTATATCCTACTACTGTATAAAGACTAACAAACCATTATAACCTCTGGAGTGCTTCAAGTTTGATCTCCAAATGGGGCTTTGGAACACCTGAAAACAGCTGTATATGGGGGGGAATTGAACAGCAGCTGCAATGTGATTCCCAGAAGTGGCACAGCTGCTTTAAGGTGTTATAGACAAGTGTTCACATTCCTACATACTCCAAAGCACAGTTTAGAGACTGAATCCAAAGGGCTACACAGCCATAGCTAGTATAAATAGATGTATCAAAGGCAGTCTAAATAACGATTTCAACCTAAACGTCTTTAGTTTCAACCTCCATTTTACAAACCAGAAACCTGCAAGCTACTGAAATAGAATAATTTTGCACTGTATTGATGCTATTGGGACCATACACATTCAATGTTACAGATGGCAAATTACCAACATATTTAGAAAACTCTCATTTAGGTGAGTGGCCCCAAGATATGTATATACTATTTTGGGTTAGCCAAAGCTGTATTCAGTTTTGTTATCAGTTTACTTTCTTTTTCTTTCCCAAGGCACTCCTGAAGAAAAAGAATTAGTATATTCAGATATGATTCCATTTTCCCCAGATGCCAATGTCCTTACTTTTTTCTCTAAAGATACATTAAAGTCAGCTATCCTGGAATGAAAACTCTCTTTGCAGCATTCCTAAGAATAGCCTTTTCAATTTCCTATACAACTATATATAATTGCAAAACTACTGTAGCAGGATTGCAGAGAGATTTTAGCTAGGTCACATAGTTCTTCCAAGCATATTTGGAATGGACTATGTGAAATGCAAAACATCAATCCTAACTTTTGACAAGCTTTAACCTTCAGAAAAGCACTAGGAAGCAGTAGACAAGTGAGTGAGTTGATCACAATTTTGCTCCAATAATCCCATTTTATTTTTCATTCATCATTCTGCCTGAAACGATATAGTTGGCAAGAGCAGGCAATCAGGGACAGAGTGTGATTACATAACCAGTTGTCATTTTCTACTATCATGGAAAAGAGAACATGTTGTGTGCTCAATGATGAAACTTAAGGTCCTCTTCGTTGCATTCTAATGTAATCAACTTCTCTTTCAGTCACTTTAAGTTTTCTGCCCCCTCTAGCCTTCCATAAGACTGGCTGCTTCTCTTTTCACCACTGGATTGCTGCTTCCTCTACCAGTATTTAAACTGAATGTAAAGAAACATAATTTGTTTTGCTCTACTTGCTTGCTTTTCAGTTTCAAGAGCAATTGTCCCTTTCCTCCCCTCTGCAGAGTGAAATAAATAATCTTGTATAGTCAATGTTGCCTCTTTGCTTATCTACCTCTATTTTATTGTTCCTTCTTTGAAGTACCTTCAACAGTTAATTATTGAATTGCTATTATATTTAAAAAAATAAATAAATAAAACTCATTTTCTGGAAAAGCTCTGATTTCATCTCTGTTGCAGACCTAACACATTATATGAACACTCCATTCTTTGGACAAAGGGATCTGAAGTTACTTTTTTGTGTTCTTTTTATATAGAAAATATGTTACTTATGGGGTCAGTTCTACGGCGTGACATAACCTGAATTCAAATTGCAGAATTCAAGTTGCTATGGGTAATGATTTCTCTAGCACAACAGTATGTAGCTCTCTTTCTAAAAGTTATACCACTGAAAGTAAATTATGTGATTTTTCCATGATGGGTACAGGTTTACAAAGTTAGGAAGCAGAAAAAGCATATTTATCTGGTTATGTTAATGCAACACCTTTTTCAGCCCTCAGAGTACATACATTTTTGAAAAGTCTGTCCCACTTCTAGAAAACTTTGTTCATCCTTACCCTAGAACTTTTAAGTTAATTCTCCCTCTCCTCAGCCACAGCCATTTAAGTAATTTACAGACATCTTATAAATTGGTATCATGTGTGGTATCAATGTTAAGCATGTTTGGGGGAAATACTCATAACATTTCCATTTCTTCCTTTCCCAATAAATTTATGCAATAAAAAATGCTATTGGAGATTTGGCTTCCAAATAGCAAGCTACTTTAAAAATTACATAGAATTCTGGATATTAGGATACGTTCCAAGAGATCACTTCTATAATTAAAAAGAAAAGAGATTCCACAGCTTAGTCTACAGAGCCACAAAAAAATATTAAAAAGGCCACTATTTCACATTATTATTGCTCAAACTACTTGCAATACAAACCGCATGCCAAATCAAGCATTACATTAAAATAAATTAATCTCTTTTTCTAGGGGAACTAGTACACTTACAGAAATGTTGATCTACATAAGCAGATTAAAATACTTCATTATTCATATGAGGGGAATGGATACATTTATGAAAGAATTTCTTTAAGGTTGTACACAGAAACAGCACATCCCTATAAAGTTAGGATATGAATTAAGAAAAACAAACTTCCTTTCTAAACTTTATATGAACAGTGTCATCTAATTATTGAATCTCCCTATGTTTACTAGTGATCTGTATCTTGTACATTAAAATGGAGACAAATATTTAGTTTTGCTTCAAAAGACTAAGTATACAGAAAACATGAAATACTGGTAGAAGAGGAGAGGTTTATGCTTTTACAGAACAGTACTATTTGAAAGTGTACAGTATTCTCACCTTTTCTTGTAACTTTTGATCTCATCTGCCTTCTTTCAGATTCTAGAGAAAGAAAAAGAAATTATTACCAGTAAAACAACCCAAACAACTATGACATTTTATTAAAACTGAAGAAGGAACTCTTGTTACAATTCTCCTATCCATCTGCACCCCCTGCAAGGAGCTCAATCCATTCTCATAGATCCACCAAACTCCAGAAAGAGTAATAACTTCTTTACATATTTGTTTTGCCTCACTTAACAACCAAACACATTCTGTATCAGGGCTCTTTCAGTTTTATTTCTTTTACCCAGCAAACCAATCATCATACACATCCACAGTGATATTTAATCTTTATGAAAGATGTTATCAGTCATTCTTGAAAATGTTATACCTGACTCATACCATAGCCATGTCAGTTTGACATTCCATGAATTTTAAAAGCAGTTAATTGTAAAGGAGAACCCTTGCTTATGACAGACAGGTCCAAGTGTGCACTCTAAACACTTTACAAAGAAGCAAACCCCCTTCTAGTCAGTCGCACTTACTTCAGAGTAAGTATGCATAGGATTTCACTGTAAATAATAAAACTGCTACTTTATCATCAGTCCAAACAAAATTAAAATTGAAGTATGGATGCAAATTTAATTTTTTAAATCTTTACTTTTGGTTTAAATTTTCACTTTAATTGCATTGGGTTGAATCTGCTCTTGGGGCACCTTGCAAATGGTGGGAATGGGATTACCATCCACTTCTTCCATTTATAACCTGAAAGGTTTCTGCTCAGGGGAGGGGACTCTCCAAAGCAGTGTGGGAGATTTTTGGAAGCTTAAAGGAAAAAGGAAAACAGTCTTCCTATTCTTCCCAATAGCAGTCTTTACTTGGATCTTGATATCTCTGTAAATAAAATAAACTCTTTGTTCATGGAAAGAATATGTTGGACATGTAATCTATCACATTTATACTATGTTGTATAAAGTGTATTAATTTGACCAAGCCTGAAAAATTAAGTAATAACTTTACTTCCTGACATTAAGGGCAAATTTCAGGTATGCAAGTATATGAAATACATGTAACTATAATAAGAAGTTGCAGCTGGGATGTAGTGATTGCTTTGCAATTGGCTCACTGAAAGATGGCATTCAAACCATGAGGGGTAATGACAGCTCTTGGCCTGGGTGGCAACAGCTCTTGATTGGTCATACTTGAAAAGAAATATGCAGATACTTAAATTTGATACTAACACCACTGATTTTTACAGGACACAGGAGATGAGAGGTCTTTTGGAGAAAGCAATTGCTTTGCTTTTATCACTAGTTGTTCCTCTCTACATTAGAGGTTAAGAGCTTGAAGACTCCATCTCAGGCCAACTTAGGTTGTAAAGAAGATTGCTGTATTGTTAGCATGAAAGAACCAAAACAGATCTTTTGGCCCCTTACTACTAGGGGACTGTGTTACTCAAATTTTCTCAAGACTTGCAACAAAAAGGAAAGAGGCCAAGATGTATCATTCTTTCACACTGTGTGTGGTTTTTTTTTAATTGGGATTAACGATGTGAAATACTCTACTGTGCCATGGCAGATCTATACTTTATTACTTTCAAGCTATTTCATAACCAGCAGCAAAACATGTTGGTCAATAAGAGGAGGCAACCAGTTTGATTTCTTCTGGGGATCAAATCAAAAGCTGTTTTTAAGCCAATGAAAGCAAAAGGATGATAACTGAGAGATAATTAATTTTTAGTAGAACATGAAAAACAAGACACTGATCAAGCTTTAAGCACAATTCTCCAAATCCATCTTGCTCTTCCACCAGCATATTCTATCTATTAATTATCTATGGACATGGCTGGAATATAGCTTGCCAAGGACATCCACACAGGTGGGACTAGTAAAAGAGGCAACATGGCAACCATGACTGGATGATCAAAGCCCCACCCCTCTTTACATGTATCAACTCACATTAAAAAGGGGCAGGACTTTAATCGCATAGTCATGCCCACCATCTTGATTTTTTTATACCCTTTCCCCGCCTACCAAAGTTGCTCCTGTATCTTGCTTACTATATTCAGCAAGCTGATAGGTCAAGCATTTGTCCGATCTTCCTATCTCCTTTTTGTATATATTGATACTGTGATAGTTTTATTCCAGTTCTGAGAGATCTTGAAGAAAAAAAAATCTGTATGTGTAAATATATATAGCTAATATATCAGCCATCTTTTATATGGAATGCAAATGTGTTACTATCATAATTTAATTATATCAAAGCTGTCCAATCTAATTTTTAAAATCCCTGTTGCAAATTCCCCGATGCATATCTAATCCTACACTATTAGAATCTGGTCTAATTTCTGTAGAGACTTGCATGCAGCTTTGCTGCCTGAAATTTTGGCTCAGATTAGTTTTCATTCCCAGTTCCCTGGGTTCTTTGACCTTATAAGCTTATGTCATTATGGAAGGGAGTTACTAATCTACAGTAGATTTAAAATGTTACAGTTTATCTTCTCAATACTTAACCTCATTTGGCCCTGAGAAAACTTGGTTAGACCTGAAGCAATAGGCTCTTGACAACAGTATTCAATATGTCTTAAATACAACTCTCCACCTTTATCATAACAGGCCAGCTTGTAAGACCCTTCTCCTTTGCCAATTACCTAGTTAATATCCTCTGCCCAACTCATAGGAAAGTCCTTACATCTGCTTGATTTAATATTCTGCTGGATGGAAAATTTAACAATATTTCTGTGCATTCCTTTTGTTTGGCTTGATCATCTGACCTAAAAATGCTTTTACTAATTCAAATGTACAGTAGCTCAGAAGAGAACTCTTTTCTTAGCTGGCAGGTCATCTGAGATCTCCAGAATGCTCACCAAATTCTGTTCAAATTACGCTTCTGTTCAATCTTTAATATCTGTTAATTTATTAAAAATGTTTTTAATGCATTATTTTAGTGTATAGTCTTTAATAATGTGTAACATTGTTTCTGATTGTTTAATTGATTTAAAGTCAAAAACCAAAATCAAACTACCCTGGACTACAACAAGAAATGTTCAAAACTCCCAAAATCACATCAATTCCCATTCTAGCAGAACTGCACCATACTACATAAGGCAACACTTCCATAGTATTACCTGGGCACATTCTTTAACACCTTGCCTCCTTATCAGTTACATTAAGAAAGATCTGTTCTTCATATACATTAGAATAAAAACACTTTACCTGGAGGAGCTGTGTGTTTGTATTCCAACTTGTGCTGTGGATTTTTCCTGTAAGGAAAAAGAGTCAGAGAAAATGAACCTGAGTTTTCCATCTAATAGTCTGAAGCTTTGAATGAAAGGAAAAATGAAAGGCAAAGCAAATGAGCCCATTATCAAGAATGAAAAATATTGATAGCAACCAATATAAAGAAATATTGGCTGTTTTTAAAAAACAGAAAATGGAATACAGGAATTTCATGGGAGAGTATGGGTATTGTGATGACTAAGAACAGTAATGGTTTGTATGCTGAAACTCTTGGTAAACATGGCCAGGAGTAATAATAGTCAGGTTTAATAGTCAGGTTAACTCCTGGAGTCCAGTAACTAGAAGTGAAATTTTCAGTCCCAAGGGGAGTGGAGCTTTAGCCTGTCACATCTTGTCCAGTGAAAGTTCCAGGCCTTTCTCCACCTGTCACAAGCTTCTATGTTCAAGATTCCTCCTTGAAGTGTAACTTTGGGAAAAAATAATGAAATATGTTAGTCTTCTTAGGCATGTGCAATCAGAGTAAGTGTGCCCAGATGCAAGGAAAGCAACTGCTCTCCCTTGATTCTTGCCATCAATGGAGGCTTTACAAAGGAGTGGGGATTTTTTCCTTTGCTGGCAAGATATATGACAGGATTTGCGTGTGTGTGTGTGTGTGTGGGGGGGGGGGGT